ACTAGGAACAAGGACGCTACTAGGGGCTCCTGGCCTTACTACTAGGAACATCGTAGACCTGCACACTTTCAGCCTTCCCAAGCGATACGACGAAATCCAGGCGTGGATGCTTGGCGTGCGACCCGGGTGGACGGCCCTGAGTGTGGATGGCCAAGCGGTTCAGACCAAGGATGGACTGACCTACTGAAGAAGAAATACTGTATTTTGTTGAGGTGTTGCCAAACATGTTCAGGGTATGACAACGAAGAGGGGCAAGCAGATAGAAGCACTGCTTGAGGAGGACATTGAAGATGCATTGCAAGCAGCCGTGGAACGAGAGAAGCGGTGCGCCCTGGCAAAGGTGCTGAGAGTTCGCCATTAGGCTGGTGTCATTGCAACGCTGAGGTACGTGGTTTGCTTTGAGAAGGGCCAAGGCAAGTTTGGAACAGAGGTGCCTAGCTGGTACGCAGAGCTTTCAGATGCTTTCAGACACAATATTGCTATGCAAGAATAACACGAGCAGCTATGTTCTAGCACCTTGATGAGGCTAAGGAGAAGGCAGAAAGAGCGAAACGTCAGCTGGCCAAGCTGCGCAAAGAGTTTCGCTTCCAGGCCCAGCAAATTTTTACCACAGTGAAGTTACAGGGAGCCACCCCCATGCATCACACACACACACACACTTATATATATATATATATACATCATATAGCTCAAGAACCTACCGTAGAATGCAGAAGCACAGACTTTGTTCAAGCAAGGGCTGGATCGAACGTCCTGAACATCGTGGAACGACGTTTGCGCAGATCGAAAGAGCCAGGGCCTTTCTTCAAACCAGTTGCTTTTGCACATATTTTTTGAAGTGGCTCCTGTATACTTGTAGTAGATGATCAAGTTCTGGTTCAGTGCGGAGGTGTATTCTTGCTTGGAGGCAGAGTGACGCATGTGCTCGTTCAGACTAGACAAACAGCCAACCAGCTCTTTTGCCCGTCCTTCAGGAGAATTGCTCCATATGGGTGGACCACCTTCCTGCAAAGATGTCCAAGACATCTGGGAAGCCGCACGGGTCCTATGAACCACTGGAAGTCAGTTCGCATTCTGTGCAGCTCTGGGTTCCGCCAGGCTGCGAATGGACTTTCTGAATTTCTATCACCTCAGCAACTATTTAATTCTGCCTGTGACGAAGCGGGAGCTCCAGAGGTTGAGGGAAGAGTCAGACGTGCCGTAAATGTTAGTAACTTGATTTGGTGATAAATCAGAATAAGTGCAGCAAAGGCCAAGACGTTGCTCATTTGTGGAGATGATGGCGAGCCAACCGCAAACTCCTGCCCCTGGCCCAGTTCCTTTTGTCGATCTAAACAGAGGTTGGAGTGAAAGAAGGCGAGA